CCCTCCCCCAGCCCCGGAGCAGGGGCCTGTGTTGCTTAGGCGTGGGGTAGAGTTAATTTTGTTCCCACTGGCTGTGCTTTGGGTCTGTGCTGAACGCAGGGTTGATAATTGAGAGATGTTTTTGTCGTTGTTGGGCAGGGCTTACACAGAGCCAAAGCCTTTTCTGCTTTCTGCACTGCTAAGCTGGTGAGGAAGTTGGGGGTCCAGGGGGATACTGGGAGGAGACACAGCCAGGACAGGTGACCCCAAGTGCCCAAAGGGATATTCCAGACCGTGTGACATCGTGCTCAGTATAGAATGTGAGGGGAAGCAGGAGGAGGGGAGGGATGTTTGGAGTGATGGTGTTTGTCTTCCCAAGTCACCATTATGTGTGATGGGGCCCTGCTCTCCTGGAGACAGCTGAACACCTGCCTGCCATGGGAAGCGGTGAATCAATTCCTTGTTTTGCTTTGCATGCATGTGTGGCTTTTGTTTTCTCTATTAAACTGTCTTTATTTCAACCCACAAGTTTTCTACCCTTCCAGTTCTCTCCCTGACTGCGCTAGTAGGGGAGTGAGGAAGTTGCTGCCTGGGGCTTGATTGTTGGCTGGGGTCCATACCAACCCTAACCACAACAGCTTCTATGAAAATGTACCTCAGTGTTTAGCAATAGTCAAGAAACACTAATGACTTTTCAGGAATGATTAGGAAAAGAACAGAAAACCTCATAGTCTTATACCCCTGCATGTGCAAACTGGCCAGCATTTCAATGCTGCTCTTATTCTTCATCTCCAGTGCGCATGTATTCCATAGGTGATGGTGGCACTGACTACAATTGCAAGGCAATTCTGGAAGAGTCAGAGGCATCAGAGGACACAGACCTGCTGGGGTAATGAGCTAAAGCCTTCTGAAGGTGATTACTGAGCAGACATTAACTATGCCATCATGCCAACAGGCATCTTGATCTCTAATTAGGCACTGGAGCCACCTGAACTCTACCAAAGGTTTCAAGATATTTCAGGTTTTTTCTACATGGGAATTCTATTGGGAAAGAGAGACTTACCAGATTGCAACTAGCTTCTTTCCACCGGAAGCTGATTTTCCCAAAGTGGCCAACATTTCCCAGTTCTTCAAGATTTTTGTTGTAAAGTCTATGTTGGCACTTGGTCACATGGCAAAATGTACTTCCTGTACATATTAAAATTTTCTAGATTCTATTTTTAAATAAATATTATTATATGCAGGGCTTTAATTCCTTCTTAAGAACTATAAAATGTATTTTTTATTGTTGTTTTAAAAATATATGATATCTAAGCCATTTAAAATTGGTTATGTTGCTTGTCTTTCTAACATATATTTTCCTGGTAGAGGTATTTTTATTTTTTTCTATCACATATAACTTTTTAAGCAACGTGAGCTGTAGCCTCTTATTAATTTATCTTTTTTCTCTTACAAAAGTCCCTGTGTCAGATCTGCTAAGGTGGCAGGGGATGACTGCATGGCCCTTACCTGTGTTTGTCCATGTGCTTTACCTCAAAAGGAGATAATAACAATATATGAGTGTCATAGTTTCCCAATTCCCCCTTTTTGCCTTCATCTTTTTAAGTGAGCTCATCACTGTTGGCATACAGAGCAAGACAGATTTGGGAACAAGGTTCAAAGGATCAATCCTTCCTTAGTGGAAAAAGACTAAACTGTATAGGAACCTGCTGTCTAATGGAACATCAGTTTCATTGTTACATGCAGTAACTGGAGCTCCCCAATGTTGGGCCTCCCCAAACCCAGAGCCACTCTGAGCTTTCTTTCAGTAGTTCTCATACAATCTCATACTGTCTTGCATTGTCTGACCTTGCTTCCTTGCTTCATTTTTATGGCTCTTCCCTCTCTTCCTCCTCAGTTTCCCCTTCCACAGGCTTCCGTGCTGGCTTCTGGTCTTTTAAGTGACTATGGAAAATAAGTGAACCAGTGTTAATCTAGTAAACTGAACCTCCTCTGTTAGGTATCTTAAAGCTGCTGAGAGGATCTTGAGGAAACAGCCTGAGGTAGGAACAGTAAGGACAGGAAAGGTCACAACACTTTTGACTCTTGTCTGCAAGGTGAATATTAATGTTTCACACATGCTACAGTGCTAAAATGCATCAAGAAGCTAGATAATTATCAATTTTCCCCCTTATATCAACTCTACCACATTAATGACACCAGATGAAGTCTTTTCTGGCCACTAGGTTTCAGCAGTTTTATCTGCTTACTGCGTAACCACAGTTCTGTAAGTTGTGTCTGAAGTGCTTGGGAATCCCATGTAACCTCTGACTCAAGATTAAGCAGGCTAAAGTACATCTAACAGCATGGATGCTTTTAGTATGGCACTGCTATATGTGAAGGAATAAAGACTGGACCCAACAAATTAATTTGCTTCTCTTTGAAAACATTAGGAGGTTAAGAGCAGAACTGACCCACTGCTTCTAGCTTTAAAACTAGACTACAGCATATATTTAAACCCATTATTATGTGCTGAAGAATGGGAATATTTGGGCATGATTAACAAGGCTTTCAGCTGATGAGTCACACGTCAGAACTGACTGAAAATCTAGGGGGACTTTTGGGTCCAATGACAAGCAGTTTAGCCTGCAGCGACTGACAACCTCTTAGGAGCTTGCTGCTGAATGCTCAGGCTCTCAGAACTTGGACATGATTGCTACAGGCACTAAGAAGAGGCACTTTCAAGAGAATGAAAAGTTCTGTAGTTTGAAGGCGGTTTTCCAGGGAAAAGTAGGTCTCCTAAGAAGAAGAATCAGAGAGAAGGCAAAAAAAAACCCCCAAGAGTCCCTGAGGATGGAGGAAAAGTTCTGACAGCACAGATATGCTGTCTTTGCAAATCTTACTCTGGCTGCAGGGGGGATAGTGTTGAGCTGATGCTTCTCATCTTAGATTTAGGATGAATGAAAATGCCATTCATCTCTGAGATTCCTGCAAGATTCTCATGGCAAATTTATCAAATTGGAAAGTAAGACTTGTAGTTTGATTCAACAGAACTTCTAAGCATACAAGGTGTTTTTTCATTTACCTTTTCCTTTTATAAATAATGGACTGGCCAAAAACATACATCCCTTCACATCCTAAGATGAATAAGGTTATGTTTATTTGGTGTCAAGCTGAATTAAAAGAAGAAAAACCAGGGGTCATTCACCTGTAATCCACAACTGCTGTCTGATTCCAGTTTAGATTGTGCACTAGTTCACCAATTTGGACTCAGTTCAGTGGGATGCTTTGTTGGTAAGAGAAGTGCTAGGAAACCTGGCTAATTTTAAGCAGAAAAATTCTCCATATCAGAACCGGGCCTGGCTGTCTTTTAATAGGCGAGCAGATGGCCTGGTGCATGGAGGAAGAGAGGCAGAAAAAATCCAGAATGGTGGTGGGGAGGCAATTTATGCCTTTTTATTTATTTTTTTTTTATTTGCCTTTTTAAAAGAACATCATGTTTGGCTGACCATTGCTACTTATCCCAAGCATCACAGTGGTTTTGGCAGGAAGACAACTGTCTACTCCATTGTACAAGTGAGGGTTTAGATGCCTATTTTTCACTTTCCCATAGCAGTAAGACATAAGAATCTATTAAGATCCTGTGTATCCTATACAAACAGTGGATGTCTGTGATATTCTAAAGTGGGTCTGTTACCATTTATGCTGTCTGCAGTATTTATTGGGTGTTGTGGCATTTCTGTTGGTCTCATCCTAGGCTCACATTTTGCTATGAGTGAATTTTGCCTTTTAGTCTTGGCAATCACAGAATAGTCTGTGTTGGAAGGAACCCAGAAGCATCATGTCACTAGCAAAGCTGGCTGGTGGCTGTGCTGCAGCAGAAAGGTTTCCCTAGAGCAGTACCCTCACAGAAGAGCATTCTGGTCATGCTTTCAGAGGCACACCTGCATCATGGCTTTCCAGAAGGCTGCCAAAGAAATCTTTGTTTCCGTCCTTATCAATATCTCCAAAGAAGTTCTCAGAGTTGTAGGTTGTACTCTCTCAAACAGTTGTATTGGAAGCAGAGATAAAACATGAGCATGCCCATGAAACAGCCACTGTCATCTGCCTCCAGCTCTCCTCTTATTCTTCCATCACCCTGCTTTTATTCAGCCCATCACTGAGAGATATAAGTTTTCAGTTCCTTGTGCAGTCAGCCTTTGTCAGAACAAAGACTTTTGTTCAGGTTAATTCCATTTTTCTCAGTTATACCTTCTTCTCCCCCACCTTGAAACAAGACTCAGTAGTAAACCTGGCTTTTTTTTCCTTATAATTGCATATGGTTATTTGGTCCTCATCTCAGCAACCGCTGCTTGGCTAGGCTGTCTAATCCAGACAGTTTTGTCCCCTAGATCTCTGATCACTTTAGTTATTCTTCTCTGAATTCTGCTTCTGTTTGAATGAGGATACCTGAATACCATAATAGCTATTAAAAACTGCAAAGCATGATAGTGCAAGTGCCGCTAGCTGTGAAGCACAGTGGCGTTGTTTGATGTGAGCTAACAGCCCAAGCTTTTGCTTAAGTTCATCTGAAACCTTATCCACAGCTAATTCTCACCCAGTTAGCTGAAAATCTGCACAGCAGTTAAGAAGCACGGTGAAGCTGGTAGTGCAGAAGTGTTATTTAGCTCAGCAAGTCTCAACTGCTCGCCTTGGCTTCCAGAAAGGAGGACAGCACCATCTGCTGATATGCATGGAAACTGCAGACCTTGAAAAGCTGAGTAATGTCTATTTCAGCTAGTAAATACCATATCCTTGTAACACCGTATCCTACTTTTATGAAGTACATTAATTTTGATGCTTGAGTAAAACTGTCAGAGAAGGGTTCTATGAAAGTCAGCTACTAGGATGGGCTTGTGATGAGGATGGACACTCATTTGGATCATACCTGAAATCAATCCATTTGTTTTACACTGTGAGCAAATATCTATTCACGTTCCCTTTTTTCCCCTCAGTGCTCTAAGATCCCGAGGTAACAGCTTCTCCAGAAGATCAAAGGCTTTGCTTAGTCAGTCTGTGTGTACTGAGATGTGTGAACATTGTGATTCTCTTTGTGCATTTACTTTTCTGAAGGAACTTGGCTGAGTTTCTTACTTGAAAGAAAATGTACCCCTTTGAATCTCCATCCCTCCAAGTGTCTGCAGCATGTGTACTTCCATGGGATTTGGATGCTGTTTGGGATCTTGGGGATACAGCCTTTGACCTTACTGTAGATGACATCTAGTTCAGGATGCATTTGGCACACCAAATCCTGCAACTTGACGAGTTTCATTCACCAACTTATTGTGTTACATAGGGTAACAAGGAAGGTGCAGTCAGTGTGGACACCCAGAGAACAACAAAGCCTTTCTTGTGTTCATAAATACATTAGCCATTCTCTCCTAAGGATGGTGCCTTCTGCTATCTCTGCTCTTCACTTGCAGGAAACTCCTGGAGACCAAACTGTAAATAAGTTTTTATCTTTCTCTTTTTCCATGTCTGAGACCGAAAAAGATTTACTAATTTGTGTAGAAATTAGCTTAATGCAAGGTAGGTGTTCATTAGTAAATGTCTGTGCCAGAGACCTCTGATTTTCGGCAATTCAAGTGATGTTCATCCCTGAGACAGTCCTAAATGGGTCTCCTCTCCATTCTATGAAGACACAGACTGCAAGTTGAACAGTTAATGGCCACAAAGTGCCATAGAGTTCTGAAGAATCAAAATCACCTGAGGCCTTAAAGGATTAGTATCTCCAGCAATGGAGCTTTATAGCCCACAAGAAAGATGATCTTCTCTGGGAAGGGGGCAGGTGTCTCCAGTTGAACAGAACTTTTGGAAAAGCTCTGCTTCATTGTGTAACCCTAAGGAGTTCCAGTCAGCAGAAGAAGGCCCAACATTTGTTTTTTTCCTAAGAGTTTCAAACATGGCAGTGAGAGTGTTTCAGAGCTCATGATGTAAGTTTTATGCATATACTGAATGGGCAGTAGCACAGTGTCCTGATTCAGGGGTTTGAAATGTTAGAAGGTAAGCTGTCAATGCAAATATTATTGATGCCACTGTAAATTATTCCTCTAAATTTAAGTTATGATAAATTTTACTCTGTATTGATTGATCTCATAAAGACACGACTATGATTTTGCTCATACCTATGATGACAGGGGATTGTTAATGTATTATGTTAGCTATATACTTAATTTTGGAAAGTTTCAAGGCAGCTCAGGAAATTTATGAAAGTTTTTGTTTCTGTTAATGTGAGAGGTTCAAGCACTGTATTTTCCCCTAAAGTTTATTTATAGTTTGCCAATGCATTCTTACAGCTTCTTTTTGGAAACTTATGATCTACTGTTCTGCAGATCTGTCTACAAGCTTATTATTTACTGTGTAATAAGCTCTTGACTGTTACTAAAACCCAGTCTTGAACCAGTCTGGGTCCAGCTGGGTTTATTAGCTTTCATTCAGCACCAAGGGTTTGATGGATGTGGAGTGGCTCTCTGAAGAAGCCATTCCAACATCCTTGCACTATGGACAGCAGCAGTGACCTACTCCTGGGAATGCAGCACAGGAAAGCTCGAGCTGCCTTTAAGGCTGCTGGCTCTCCCCAGGGTTGCCAGCCTGGTTTAAGCCCATGACAAAGCTGGTGGACTGCCAGTGTAGCAACATAGCCAAAGCACCATATCTGGCCTAACAAACAGTGCTGGGGTCGGGCAGCACCTGGAGGGAACCAGCTTGGGCATCTCTGCACATTTGTCAGTTCAGTCCAGAAAAACAACACACAGGCAGCTGAAAGGCAACAGTAGTTTCTCATTTACTGTAATGCTGAAGAAGAGCATGTGCTGGCTACTTTGATTCATGATTTCCGAAAGTGTTTGGCTGTCAGTATCTGCAGTTTGGAACCCTATAAAGAAAAGATTATAAAAAGAATGTAGGGAACAGTCACGCTTAGAAATCTTGTCAGAAGGAATAAACTGTTGTTAAAAATGTGCCTTTCTATTGCTTCACCATTGCTATTACTGTCAAACTCATGCAAAGGTTTCTAGATATCCTTATTCCAAATTCTTCTTGTAGATGCACTAATTATTCATTCTTTAGAAGTCAAGATAAACACACATCACTGAGAAAAGGGGCAGAAAAGGCTTTTATTTATGTCTTCCCTTAAGTTTCCTGTAAAGGACTAACACCTTTACTAATTTCTCAAATATTTAAGACAATATAAGGTCTTTTGGCACTGTATATTTACAATTACTCAGTATTGAAATGCAAGACTCCCTACATCACAGGTGGAATGAAATCTGCCAGACAGATTAGATGCTTACCTACAAGCATTTGATTGGGATACTGAAAAGTCATTGTAAATTTATGTCATTGACCATTTATCTTGTGAAATGCCAGGTTATTTAGGCTTTTGCAAGGGTGAGGTGAAGACAATAGCTGTTAACCCTAAAAAGCAGATTCATAGTGAGATTTAGGTTGAAGATTAACTTCTTGCCTCAAAGTTTCTGAAGTGTTTCCCTTTAAATAAATGCATTTCAATGTTCTCTTTTAATTGTTCAGAATTTAGCTAAAATTTATTATTTTTCCCAATTTTATTGTTTAGATTATTAGTAATAAAACTAGCAGGACCATGTCTACGGTAATGCAGTCCTTTGCACTCATACAGTCTGTTTTAGTTTTCCTTTGCAGAAAGAGGCCTGACTCCTTGCAGACTTGGAAGATAATTCTCTTTGATCTTAATTTATGCAGGAAAAAATCTTTACCCTAGAGGAATGCCTGTTCTTCACATGATCTCTGCTGAAAGTACTTGATACTCTCAGGAAAGACATAAATAAATATTATTTATTCTGCTTATTTTTAGTTTCTTTCATTAACATAGTAAGAAAGAAGCACATGCAGATGTAACTTAGATACAATCCATTACATGAGTGTCCAAAACTGCCCATCAACTTTATTTTTAGTTTGTTTCAAGTTTGAACATAATATTTACATTCCAAGTCCCAAATTTAATTTTTGTGGAAGCTCTCTTTCCTTTAATCACTGTGCTCCCAAACATGGATGGAGGGCTCTGAGACCCCTGACACCTTCTGTAACCACTCCAATGAAGAACCAGTGGATGGATGGGAAAACCAGGATTGGACTAATACATAGCCAGATGTCTCCCCCGTGCTGGTCTGCAATACAACCCCTGCCCTCACTCAGGAGCTTAGGAGCATTTCTCAGCCTCATATTTTAGAAGCAGTAGAGGCAGCACACAAGGTTACAACAATAGGCATCATGCTCTCACCTTGCTACAGAGTATACTAAGATTTGGTCTGTTTGGTTTCTTTTTGCTTCCTACCAGCCTTTTAATGTTTGATTTGCATTTTTTAAAATAGAATTGCTTTGCTTTCAATGCCTTGAAGCATCCATCTTCTATTCCTCAGACACACTGATGGAGTATCAAAGCACTTAACAGTGTCGAACATCTTAGGCTACCCTGGCGAAAGACAGCTCAGGGGATAAATAGAAATCGTCCTCCAGTGGTAATTCACTCCTTGTTCTAGTTCTGCTGTTAGAAAATGGAAGGGAGTGAAATGTGAAAATATAAGCACCTCTCCAGAGCTAGACCAAAGCCAGATTCTGCATGGCTCCTGGAAGTGTTGTGAAATACTAGCCTTTTTTATAAATGACTGTGCATAAATAAAACAAACAGCAAGTGGCAAAACAGTCTTGAAAAGGGGCAGTTTTATGATCCACCCACTTCCTAAAAATGCATAGTGTATGGTCCTGGAGTCTTGAATTTGGAGGGAGATATGTTCTTTCTGAAGGTTGTGACTAGTGCAGTGGCATTTTCTTTGGTCAGGGGATTACTGGCCGTCTGTAAAATAAGAAACATAGATCTAGACATGGTGAGAATGAGGATGTCATGTCTTGCAGAGGGCATGCTGTAACCTCAAGAATGACCCTTTCTTCCCATTCTTCAGCAGGCATACGGAAAAACTGTGTTCCCTTTCAATGGGTTATTCATCCTATCTGGTCTCTGTCCCACAGAAGTCTGCAAGCTTTCAAGTCAAGTGGAGTTACCTTCTCAGTTTCTCTCTGTCTCCTAATGTGAAACTCCATATATCAGGTTCTTTACATCTGTCATGCAGAAGGATGTGATGTGGATCATATTCAGTCGTGTGATGGGGAGAGGCTGAGGCAGTGGGCTGCATTTCAATGTGTACTTGCTAGTAGGGCCCCTCTGGATGGAGTTGTGCCCCTTGGGACATTTCCCATTCACTTGGCTCCTCTTGGCAGCACAGAAGATCAGAACTCATGCTGGTCTGCCTGCTACAAGGTATGGCTATCTGGCATTACAGGGTGTGTGCCTCTTTTAGTGCATGAACATCATCTCTCCTCCACCTTGGACCTCATGTGAAGTCCACACTCCCAAGATTAGAAAGAAAAGTTCCTTTGTTAACGTTGGCCAGCAGAAGACATGTTCTTGTTCAGGCCCTTTGTGCTATCAGCTCCTATGATGATCTGAGTGGCTACAGAGAGAGAGGAATGCCTCTGGGTGAGATAGTGACATTACCTTAAGCCTGGTTATGAGCAAGGCACACATACAGGTTTATTTACATAATCTGAAACAGCAGGCCCAAAGACTGGTGTGGTTGCAGTGATTTACAAAGACAGGGGTGTCCAGGGACAGGTCTGAGACATTAACATCTTGAAAGATGCCCCTCAACCACCATAGTGTCATTTGCAGGCTCTCAGGATGGTGATGTTAGATCTAGCTGAGAATGCAGCTCATAAGCGAACTGACTTTTCTGAGCTGAATTCCTAGAGTCTGATCTTGGATTGAGAAGGTGTCTTAGCTCTCAATTCTCACCTCTGGAGGTATTTTAGCTGGTTATTCAGTTTTGCCCTTTCAGGGATTATTGACCCCTGTTTTACTAGAAGACAGTTTTGGCATTCTTTTGCCAGGGCTGGTTAATACTCCTCTGTTTTAGGTACTGTTGTGTCATTGCCCTGTTGTGGCAATGACAGTTTATCCTGTGCTTGAAGAAATTCTTAGCAAATCATTTACATTGTGAAGGAGAAAGGTAGAGAGAGGGAGGATTTCTTATATTAATAGACACTGCCTGTTTTTCTCACTATGAAAAATGGCCGGGGTCTCCTTGCCACATCTAAAATATCAAGATTTGCTCTACTTATGTTTGGTTAGCAGAGGAGAGGAATTCAGCTTCATACGATAGCTGTGCCCAGCTGTACATGTGCCAATGCCAATTCACATGCATAACACACCTCAAGGTGTAAGTTCTACTTAGAGCAGGGTATGTGTGAATTCATTTGTGTCTGCTGTGACAGTGGGAGGGATAGGACTTGCTGCCAACACTTGCTTCACATTCTCTGAGAGAATTTCTCATCCAAATTTTCCATGTATGGAAGGCTGGATGGAGGCAGATGGTGAATTTAGCTGACTTAAAAATATTCCTTTTAGAAACAAAACAGAAAGAAACAGGTTCTGCAGTAATCTCTGCTGCTCCTGCTTCAAGTGTGCTGGAAGGAGAGAAGAGATGTAAAACCTTGAAATTTGGAGAGGCATTTCTCTGGACTAGGAAGTTCAAAAGTTTTAGTACTGATCTGTGCGTTGCCTGCAGGCTTTTTCAAGGCAGAAGCCCATTGCCTTTCCCTTGCTTCAGTTTTAATTGTTCCATATTTTAAAGATATGGACTTCAATTAGAAAAGGGAACATATCAGAGGAAATACTGAACCAGGAGAAGGAAGACATTAATGAAATGGAAGGCATTGCATTATTGAGATGCTCAAGGATCACTGGATACTCACAGCACATACTTGTGGCCATTATGGTAGCAGGTGTGTGGAACATACTGAGGGAAGAAGGGCATTCAGATATTCATGCAAGTCTTGGTCAGTGTAGTAACAGCTCCCAAGATTACTGAAATACTAATTTGTTTGCTTTTCCTCTGAAGGACTACTAGCACACTCGGGTTCTCACTTTGTCTGACCAGACAGATTAGGCAGCTTAATTTTATTCCTTCCTGTTCTGTGTCTCTTGCTGCTTACTGTGCAATGGCTAAAACCATTAGGTTTGGGCTACTTACGAAAAACAGAAGTAGCTCCTGAACTTTGCAGTAAAAAGAAACAACAGGTCCAATCCTATGGGATTTTAGCAGAGTGCAATTTTCTGCTTTATATGCCCTGAGGGATTTCTCTTTCAGCTTCTTCCTCTCTGACAGACTGCTTTGTTACTGTGGTTTCTCATGCTGCGTGTGTTCTGTTCCCATACATGACCCCTAGTTGATAGTCACCTGTGGTGACGAAGGTGAGCCTGTGACCCAGCCAGAAAGCTCTGGATCTGGGTGCCCTGATTTTTGTACTACCCATCAGGTCATGGGGCATTCTTGCTAAAGAAGGAAATGCATGTTCACTGTGCTGGCATCATCTATCTCCCCAGCGCCTGTACTCCTGTGTCCTGGTTTTTGACCAGGATAGAGTCAATTTTTTTGCAGTAGCCATGAGAGGGCAGAGCCTGGACCCCCATGGGCATGTCTAGGTTGTTATTGTCACCACCTCATGCCACCGACAGGGTTGGAAATGCAGGACTCTCACCTCCAGGAGGAAGGTGGGTGTGACTTGCAGTCCAGGAAAAGCAGAGGCACAGAGAATCCATCGTTCCTTCTTTCAGGATTATGCCATGTCAAGGCAGTTGGTGAGCATTTTTTGCATGTAAATCATACTCTTTTTGTATAATTTTGTTTTGAACATTGTTGTTGTTACTGTTCATTTTCTTATCTCATTATCTCATTGCTGTTTCCAGTAAATTGTTCCCCTCTCAACTCGTAATCTCTGCCTTTTTTCTCTCTGACTGGAGGGGTTGTGGTTTTGTCATGGTGTCCTGGGGTGACTATGATACTGGTATCCCCAATCGTCTGGTTTATGTTATATATTAAGATCTGCACCTTTAAGACTGGCTTTGAGAGCAAGAGAGGAGGCAGAAGAGTTCCCTGGACCTTTGTTTTTTTTCCTTTTTTTTTCTTAGATCTGTGCAAGCCTGCTCTGGACTGAACACCCAGCCAAACCCCGGGAGCTCAGGCCTGTGACCCACCGGGGCCTGGGCCTCGGCACTTTTCCAGCGCTGGAGGGACTGATAAGAACCTGAGCAAGCCGAGTTACACCACATGAAAAGGACTTTTCTTCCTAGACTTACCATCCCATCGAACAGCAAGAGGTTTTATTATTTAATATTATTCAATTTCTGTTAAATAAACAGTTTTTTCCACTTCTCTCCAAGGAATTTTTTTCCTTTCCTGGACCAGTTGGTGGGGAGGGGTCATTTCCCTGGAGAAACCCCCATTTAGAGTTTCCTCCCTGATTTACCCTAAACTAGGACAAATACAGTTTTTGGCACCCAACGTGGGGTGAAAAAGTGGAAAAACCTGTACTAATAGTTGGTTGTTTTTTTGGTTGTATTTATTCTGTATTGGGATAAAGTAGTCAGTGGCCACGTTGCTTGGATGCATAATGTCTCTCGGGGTGGAGGCCTTCATGTGGATCTGGTCCCTAGAATTTTTTGAGGTTTTAATACCTGTCTTTTCCTTCTTTTAGAGTAGAGGGGTACGGATTAGAATGGTTATTGTGCTGGGCTCGGTGATAATTATTTATAGAAAGTTCATAGAACTACTGAAGTTTCTGTTAGGTATGTTTGGCTTATGGTTTCTTCACCCGACCCTGCCTCCCAGTCCCAGTAGCACATTTTGGGAGTTTATTGGTAATTGCACCCAGTTTGTTAGAGGAAGAGCAGGGGATGAGGCTTTTCAGCCTTTTCTTTCCTTCTTCTGCTTTGAGACTGTTATGTCCCTCTTTGAGAATATCCAGTTTCCCCTGAGTGTCAAGGATGCCACTTTCCTGGTCACTTTCCTGGTAGTTCAGCTGTTAAGCTTCCTCTGTATGGTCTACAACTTCTCTAGAGTGAGGGCTGAGATATCCAGAGGAGACAACGAGACCCCTGCCCCAGAAGTAGACTCAGGTGTGGGAAATCCTGAGTGGTGTAGAGAATGGGAGAGAATGGGCCGAACTCTGAAGAAATTTTCTGATCCCCCAGCCTGAGAATTTTCACGTGAACAAATTCAGAACCCAGATGAAGTAGGGAAAAGTGTAGAGCTGTAGAGAAAAGTGGTGGAGTTTCTAGCAGTATTTAATTCCATACCACCCACATCATGGCAGGGGTGTGGGTTCAGCAACAGGAAGCTGGAGCTGGAAGGGTCACCATCTTTTGCTGGGATTGGGCTCAGGAGTGTGCAGGTTTTGGGGTCAGCCTGGTGAAGCTAGCCCCTCTCTGCCTGTCCTGAAATGAGCTCCTGAAAGGAGCTGTCCTCCTTTCTCAGAGAACACCTTGTAGCTGAGGTTCAGCTCCTTCACTTTTTAATTGCTCTACAGAGAGACAAAAATGCAGAGGTAATGTGATCTTCCAGCCAGATGCCATACAAAGGCACCCACGTGAGGATGAAAAAGAGGGATATCAGACATATTGAAATCTTCAGCGCATGGGACAGCAGCAGCACAGAGATTGTTGCACTGTGTGTCCCCAAATGGGCATATAACATCATAGTGATTATTTTCCCAAACATCAAAAGCAATAGGACTTCGTGGTGTGCATACTTCTCTCATACAGTGCATGTCTGGCCTGCAACACATCCTGCAATTCTGTTCCTGTCCCTGTTGCACTCCCATTGTCCCATGACAAAGAGCTCTTTCTGGTAACAGATCAAGGCTTTGATCAGGGCAGCTTCTGAAGGTACCAAATGATTAAGAGGCTTTGAGACAGGAACTATCCAGAGAAGTCTATACTCTCCAGTAAAAATATTTACTGGAGGATTGCAAACTTTTATGAAGTTGTGTTCTCTTACATGGTTCTGAAGGTTTGTTTCTCAGCCAGACACACACAGCTATCCTGAAAAAATGTTGATGCAGTTCATCCAGCACTGTGTCCTCTCAGCCTCTTATTTCTGAACTAAGCACTTAGCAGAATTATTCCAGGAAATCATGTGGGCATTGCCAAGTGAAATCACGCTAAGTGAGGGATGCAAATAAACTTGGATTTCAGGTAACTCATTATTAGTGCCTCAGCAAAGTATGGTGCAGTCTCCAAAGTTGTTTCATGGGGAAGAAAAGAATGTTAACTATGCACTGATCTCTCCTTTGGCTCTGTGCTGGGGTCTGCAGAAAGATGTGCTTTTAGGTAAAAGCTCCAGTCCATCACAGTCCATTTCCAGCTGTAAAATGTTGTGGTGGGTTGACCTTGGTTGGACACCAGGTGCTCACCAAGCCTGTCACTCCCCTCCTCTGCAGAACCGGGGAGAAAATAAGATAGAAAATGCCATTTTAAATCAAGATAAAGGCAATTTAATAAGGCGAAAGAAAAGGTCACACACTAAAGCAGAAGAAAATAAAAGATTTATTCTCTATCTCCCATCACTAGATGATGTCCAGCCACTTCTCAGAAAGTCAGGCTTTAGTACACATGGTGTTGTGTAGTGGTGTATACACATAGTGGGCCAGAAGACAAACATTGTATTTACAAATGTGCTGCCACTTCCCATCATCCCTTCCCTCTACCCCTTGCCTTTCTCTTAGCTTTTATTGACAAGGAGATGTCATATGGTGTGGAATAGCCCTTTGGTGAGGCTGGATCAGCTGTCCTGGTTATGTTCCCTCCCAGGATCTTGCCCACTACCAACCTAGTGATGAAGGGAGATGTTGGAGAGACAGTGCTTGATGCCTTGGGAGCCAAAACTTTCCTGTGTTTATCAACACCTTTCTAGCTACCAATACAAATCACAGAATTATGGGGGCGGCTATGGGGAAAATTACCTCCATGTCAGCCAGACCCAACAGGGACATTTGTTACTATTCTACTTTGCTCCATGGAGTAGAATTACCCAAAGATATAGGAGATGCTCCAGAAATTAACTAAGTTCCACTTGAGGGACTGGTTTTCAAAGATGCTGGAAATCGAGCAGGTCAAATATTTAATCACTTTAAGTCTAGATTTCCACTGTTAATCTGGGTTCCCATCAGAGGAGTAGCTGAAAGACTGATTTTGCCCATAGACCTAGTAATATTTTCAGAGTGAGAGATGGGAATGAAACACATACTACTTCACTTCTACTGCTATCAGTATTTGTGTGCATACAGCCCTCTAAGAGCTGAAAAACATCAAGGTAGGACAAATTATTCAAAAGCAAACTGGCAATGGTTTCAGCTCCTGATGTGTCTAGGTGCTTATTAGAGATGTTTTGGAAGAAAAGAATGGAGTATAAGAGGGATGAGTCCAAAGAATGTATTGGTTTTACTGTCTTCTTAGTGTATTATACCAAGGGAATAATGCAAGACAAGCGATATGAGAAGTGTTAGCCAGACAGTAATTAATGTGTAGGTTATAGAAGTATTTAACCCTGTATCCTTCTAACAGAAATAAAGCCTTAGAGTCATCAGTTTTACAGAGATCTTTGTCTTCAGTGAACCAAGAGGCATTTCGCCAAGAATCTTTTCTTTCAGTGAAACACAAGACCCCATGGCCTATCAAAATGCATTTTGTATAACCTAGTTTCAAATTGAAGGAACATCTCCACCAGTTCATTTCTGAACATTATTCCCTTAATCTTTTTAGAAAAGTTTCTCCATGTCACATTGGAGAATAAAATTTCCTGACCAAAATGTATTTACTGTTAGCTAAGCATAAGCTGGAACAACTTAGTTATGGTAATTATTGTCACATCTTCTAATGAAGGTAACAGTTCCAGACTCACCAGACTGCCTCTATATGCACACTTCTGCTTTTCAGAAGCTTGTACATGTTAAAAGTATTGCAGCAGAAAATATCATGGCCTTCAGAATGTGAATGGTTTTGCCTGGGAACAACAGTTGTTTGGTTAAAATTGGGGTTTTTTTGAAGACTGAACTTGATGAGCAATAATTTTGAGTATGAACTATGTCAGATCATGAAGGTACCAGTTCTTGAAGGGATGAATTCTCTCACAACATCTCTCCTACACATATAGCTCCTTCTACCAAAATGCCGTTGTCTTCCAGCTCTAATTGTGTAATGGTTGTGTTGGACTGGGAAGACAGAAAGGTAAACAAAGACATACAAAAAATTACTGTAAAATTAACAAGGAGGGTAGTTTTCTTAGTTAATTGTTGAGACACTGGACATTTCCTTTGGATTTCAGGGAGCATTGTGGGTCTGGAGCAGTGATCAGGGGATTTGACAGCCATGGCAGTGGGAATTGGCATACAAAAAAGATATTTTCCTGGACGGATTTCAAGTGGGTAGGACTTCCTGTTACTTTGTGCCAGCCTGGAGCCCAGGTTCAGGTCCCAGCTTCAATTCAGGTATCTTGAGCCTGTCCATGGTGAATGCAGAACCTTCCTATGCAGAACCCAGAGTAGGATATGAGTCACTCCAGCCCCATCTGTGGCCCTGTAGGGGACAGAAGCTCTGAGGGCTTGTGTCCCATGGAAGAGCATCAGTTGCTTTTGGGGGTAACTCCATTAAAGGACATCAGCTGCCACACAAAACTTTCATTTGCAGAGGATGACAAACATTAGGGATGCTCAGAGTTTCTATGTTTTTTCTCCCATACTGTGAACACATTGATGACTTCCAGGCCTGAGAGAGGCCTAAAATTCCTATTGTTCTTGAAAACACTTGCCCCACTGTTACTGGCTATTCACCACCATAGCACTAAAAATGTCTTTGACACCTTTAGGTCCTAGACCATTGTGGTTCAGATTTATGTAAGGCTTACTCAAATTTTGAATCAAGCGTGAGGCAGGCAGCACTTCTATCAGCCTTCCAAGCATACGGATTCTGTGCCCATAATGTCTGCAAAGGCCTTCTCAGGATCTACAGAGAAAAGTGATAATGACTATTGATAAGTGGTGCATTGTGTCTCCCCATCTTTATTAAATAAATTAAACTACTTAATAAAACTAAGTAACACTGTGCAACAACAGCACAGTTTTACTCCTTATACATTATTATTCCCTGGTTCTCCCCATTCCTTTATCTTGCGGGAGCAAATGTATCCTCCTTGTTTATCCATTTCACATCCAGTGAATTGTTGCAGCTTCTCTCCAGTCTGCAATGTGATTGAACTTCTTGAGAACTTCTGACATCAGGCAAAAACTTTTTATTGTTGTTTTTTAAGTCTTAATTTAAGCATGCAGCTGATATTGCCAGCAGAGGTAGGGCAACTCAGAACATTCTGGCTTACAAACAGCAGAAAGAATCCCAGTATTTTCATCTTGGCCATTGGGTGTTGCTGGCACAGCTGCAGTGAGACATATCAGTGCAGCTGGAGGCTGTATTTCCACAAAAACCTTTCATTTGGAATTCCTTCATCAAACTCTATACTTAGAGATCATATTTCTCTGTGTTGTTATATGCATTCAGCAGTCTAACCTTAAGACAAATTCCCCTCTCAACAAAGCCATTTTCCAGTTCAGTCTGTAGCCTCTAACAAAATAGTCTTTGTTCTTGTGTTATAATGTTTTTTGACTTTCCTTCCATTTGTAACAATTTAGAAAGTTCTGTTCCTAAATCATGGATAAATGCTACTGTTACAAAAATGAGTGCAAGACTTGTTCAATCAGATGACTGACTTCCTGAGGCAGAAAATAAGAGGAGAGCCACCAGAAAAGACCAGAACAGTTGTGTCAAACTGATGGTATGCAGACCACAAGTGCTACAGTGTTTAACAGGGAATGCACAAACAGGGATGTGGTCCATCCCTGGTTTCAGCTAGCTGCTCCCACTGCTCTGTTAACAACTTGAGGAGGCAATCAGGAATAATATAGTCCTGGTGTGTAGAAAGCAGTTGAATAAAGATGTTCAGCATCAAAGGGAGATATCTTAAAGGGAAATTTACATTCCTCCCCCCACCTTTACCAATAGCCAGATTACATGTGGCTGTTAGAATTCTGGCAGGATCATGTCCTTTGGATACATACCAGTTGTTAGGTACCACTCTGACTGCATGGAAAGGCTAGTGAGTGCAGATAGTCAGAAAATATCAGTTACAACCCCTAGGTTAGTGTCAGGAGCTTGCATTGCCTTCTCTGCTGTGGCATCAGCCAGCAAGACAGGCTCCTGAGGCTCACTCATTTTGGACATTTCATTTTGGTCTGCCATGAAGCAGATTCACTTTGTCGGTGCAAGCCTAGCAGAAATGTAACTCCCTGGATGTGACAGATCTATTCCTCTTACTGAAGCCCCTCTTCCACCTGTGGATGTACTCCTGCAGCCCTGCTTCCTGCCCAGCACACCCTCTGCACTATATGCATGTAGTGCTGGCCCTAGTGTGGAGAAGGGCTAACTCCAGGGCTAAGTTCTCCTCAAGTTCTTCAGGCCATGTGCAGGGAACTCACAGTTATCCCACATTAAGTTCTTGTTCCATCACAAGCTACTCTTCTTGCCTTTCCCAATTTCTGAGACCACCGGGCAAAGCAACTTTTTTATCTTCATCCCATTTCCCCACAAATATGCAAGCCAAAACCATACCAGCTTCTCCTACCTCTCTTGAACTGACTGACAATTCCCCAGGCACAGGGGCTGACTCTGTGATCAGACTCTGGGAATGCTTAGCAGTATACTCTTCCTGCATGGCAGAATTAACAGCATTTGAACACCACCATATATTGAGACTAAGTATAAGTAGTGAACAGCTTCTCTTGTCCATAATTCATAATTTATTTTTTAGTCATAGAGAAAGAGAATTTGGAAAATTCCATTTTAATGGGACTAAATGCATGAAAAAAATTATGAAGTGTTATTTTGCCAAAATAATTTCTGGCTAATAGGATAATACATATTTTTTTTGTACTCTGAATCTTCCTTTTCATTCACTGTCACTGCTTTTACTGCCTTCTTCCCTTACTCTCTATTTCTCTTTAGAGCTCCAGGCTATTAACCTGTAAACTTATACCCTTCCTGGGTATAAAATGTGGATGTGGAATGTGGAGCAGTTTAGCTGTTCATTCAGATCTATGTGGGGAAAAGACTGGCCAGCTGGCACCCACATCACAACACTTCAACCAGCTCTGCAGCTGTATCTCCTTTATTAAGGCACTTTCCTTCTGCCAGATTTTTTTTGTCAGATGATGGGTTTACTTGCATTACTCTAGTGTGAGAAAGACAAAAGGAAGGGTAAAAATAGTTTAAATCCCATGTAAAGAAGTCATGAGACAAGTCATGTGCCCAGTACATTAGTCAGTCCCCACAGTGTGTGAATTGAGCCTTCTGAGGTAGATTCAGAAGTGATTTTGGCACGTCATAAATTGCATTATGTGCTATTGAAATACAGAAAAGCAAGCCTACAGGAGTTGTGCTACATATGTCCATGCCTTACAGTAATTGCATCATTTAACAAATAATTGCATATATAACAACAGAGGAAAATAAGAAATTAACTTGTAATGACTAAGTGACAGGCCAAAAGAGGTTTAGAATTTTGAGAGGAACTGTTATGCAAAGCTGGGAAGTCAGACCAAAGAGCTGCGAGCAGCCCTGGCACCTGACTGTGCTGTGTACAAGCAGAGCCTGGGAGCAACAGGTTCAGAAAACCCTGCTGCCCCCATGCCCTGCTTGTCCTTCTGGGCAATGAAGAGCTCAAACAGGATCTGGTCTCAAAAGATGCTGCTGCCAAGTCCTCTAATGATTAGTTTTGTTTTTTCCAATCTGCTCCCAGATGGCAGCTCCCATCTGTGGCCACTGGTACCCTGATCCCTGTTGGCCACGCTTCTTCTCATTGCTCCCCGGCCTAAGGAGAGAAGCTTTCTCAACTTCTCAGCTGGTGATCAGCCTGGTGCAACCACAGTCCCTCTTAGCTGCAGCTGATTTTTCTTTGGCCATTTCTGACAATTTCTGGAGTGAGTTTGCTAGTAAGTAACCCTGCACCTGCATCCTTCTCAGACTCGTTCTCTGTGTCACCATCAGTCAGTCACAGGTTCATTTGCTTTTTCTCTTCTGTAGATGAAGAGTTCACAGCCACCACCTAGATCCTGTATGTTTCTCACACCTACATACTAAAAGCACAGCTGTTTGGAGTCAAAACGTCACCAGAAGGAATGGTGCCACTTGTAAGGCCTGGGTTCTTGATTTATGTTGCTTGTAAACAGGAGAATCCTATGTCTTGCTTGCAGGGGCTGTCCTGGTGTTGTGAGAAAGCCCTGTGCTTGCCCTGTGCTGCCATATCACCCTTATGTGACCTCACCTGCACCTTCTGACTCCTACAGGTGACATTCAGTGCCAGAAACCCCAACATTCTGGGATCCAGTCAGCTCACAATAACTGAGAATAGTTATGGTTTTGGCTGTGGACCTTCTCCCCCAGATGCATCAAAGAGTCATGTCAGGCTGCTGCTAAGTGCTCTTACCTCCTTTAATTCATAATTCAGTTTGTACAATTCTGTGATGAAGTCAGACTGTGGCAGTTGTAGTGTTAAATGAGATGAAGATAGGAATGTATTCACCTTTTTCAACTGGATCAGATTCAGACTTCCCTACTGCCAAATTCCCAGTATGTTCAGTAATAAAGTGTGGCTTGTAAACATGTCAGCACTTAATGGGGCCTTGAATCAAATAGTCACTCATTCCAACTACTGTTGGTACCAAAAGTTGTTCAGTGCTTATTATTTTACATCTCTCTTACCTAGGACTTTGTGACTTTTCCTAAGGTGCTAAAACCAAAACTCTAACAGAAAAGGCTTTCTGATAAAGGTTAAGCAGAACTAATTAATATGCCTAGAAATATTTCCAGTTCCCCAAGAACAGGATAATTTTAGTGGCTTTATTCCCTTAGGTTCTAAATAGACCTCTCAAATAGTCTGGTCAGTAGAGACCATGGAATGGTTTTATTTGGATAAACACCACAAAACCCTGAAACAGATGACCATTGTCAGCTTTGATTTTATTGCCAAAGTTTGTAAATATTTTTCTAGAATAGGCCAATCAACTGTGGCTATTTGGCCTCAGTTGCTTGCTTGTTTGTAGCACCAGCTAACGTTCTTTGATTTCAGTCCGATTATTCTGATGTCGGCTGGGTCTGCAGATCTTTTCTTAGATCTTTCCTTTTAAGGGACAGGCTCGTTTTAAATGACCCAGCCATGAACTCCTAATGTTGCAGATCCTTTGCATGGAGAGCACCCTCCATTTTCTGACTAGAAACCAGGGATGGATTGGTTACTGCAACAGGAGATGGGAGACCACAGTCCAGTGCCTTGCCAGAGGCATTTGTGGGATTTGAGACAAGTCTCTGCTTCTGTGGTCTATGGTGTTTTATAAACAGTGATTTGAAAGAGTGATAGGATTATTATTTATATACATTATAACATAACCTCCAATCCTAGCTGTGGACCCTCCTTGTACTAATTACTGGTGGGAGAAATGGGTCTTAATGTCTTCACAAACAACTCAATGTGAAAAAAAAAATCAGGTTCTGGAAGAACGGCTGTGGGGATTTGAGGAGAAATGGGTGTTAACATCTTAGAAATGGGTCATGTTGTGTTCATGAATATCAAGCTGGATTTTTTGCAGAATCCAGATAATTTGAGCTTCTAAACTTTAGGGCAATGTGCAGTAGGTGGTTCGGGAGGTCTGTACCTTCCTAGTACCCCAGCTAATGAGGAAAAGAAGAAGGCAGCGTTGGGCTAAGAGTTTAGGATAAAAGGAGGCTGTGTCCTCCAAGAATTTGAGAGACCCTGTGGGGGTATGGCCTAGTGGACTCTATCCCTTAAATCAAATAAATTTGCAAGGTTCCTCTGTCTCTTTTGTGGATACTGGCTTTTCACAGCATGGTTTTCTGCAC